CAATAGCACAGTCCCTACCACACTAATCCTTAGACGGCGCCCATGACTTGCACTTGACGGGCAATAAATCCCCCCTCCCCCACCGGCCCCTCCCCACCCCCGCCCCTCCCCCACCCGGCCCTCCGCCCACCCCCTCCCCACCCCCCCCCTCCCCGGCCCACCCTCCGCCCACCCCGGCCCCTCCCCCACCCGGCCCCTCCCGGCCCCACCCCCTCCCCCACCCGGCCCCTCCCCCACCCGGCCCCTCCCTCCACCCGCCCCCTCCCGGCCCCACCCTCTCCCCACCCGGCCCTCCCACCCCCGCCCCCTCCCGGCCCACCCTCTCCCCACCTGGCCCCTCCCACCGCCTCCCCGCCCCTCCCGGCCCACCCCCGCCCCTCCCCCGCCCCACCCCTCCCACCCCCTCCCCACCCGCCCCTCCCCACCCGCCCCTCCCCACCCGGCCCTCCCCGCCCTCCCCGGCCCCACCCCTCCCCACGCGGCCCCTCCCCGCCCCCTCCCCCTCCTCCCCCCCCCTCCACCCCGGCCACCTCCCCCACCTGGTCCCTCCTCCACCCGGCCCCTCCCCACCCCGGCCCCTCCCGCCCCCTCCCACCCCCGGCCCCTCCCCTCCCCAACACCGCCCTCTCCCCAACCCTGGCCCCTCCCCAACCGCCCCCAACCCCACACACACCACCTCGCGCCCCCCACCACACACCACCATCTTGCCCCCCCACCCATACACTCCACCTCATCTCCCACCCTCAGACACACCACCTCGCCCTCCCCCCACACACACCACCTCGCCCTCCCCCCACACACACCACCTCGCCCTCCCCCCACACACACCACCTCGCCCTCCCCCCACACACACCACCTCGCCCTCCCCCCACACACACCACCTCGCCCTCCCCCCACACACACCACCTACCCCGCACACACGCAGTGACCAGCTGTTCTAACCAGAGCCTCTGTTCGCAGTTGGCTTCCCAACAGCAGCAGCTGGATGCCCTCCTGGGGAAGTGACGCTCAGCACAGACACTGTGACCAAGAACACTCATGTCAATTAGCACTGCCTACTGACACAATGTGGGCAGGTGCCAGAGGAGGGCTGGACTGGTGTGGGGATGGTTGGTGGTGCATCATCGCTGGCATCCAGTAACGCACACACACAGTAATAACACACACACAATAATAACACACACACAATAATCACACACAGTAATAACACACACACCAAAGACACAGTGTGAAGGAGATGGGTTGTGTTTGGGGCTATGGTGCTGATGGGGCTGAGGTCAATGTATACACAATGAGTTTGTGAAATAGTATTTAAATAAAGTTGATTAAGGAATCGAATTGTTCACAGTCTGTGTCTCCAGAAATGAGCTGTTGCCAGGGGTTCGGAGCTTGTTAACAAGTCAGACACACAGCTTGGCCGGCAATAAACACTTTATTATTCAACAGAAGCAGTGACCTCACACCCAGTGACATGGCAGATATGCTGCTCGGTTTTCGCCATCACTTTGCTGAATGATGTTTCTGCTGCAATGGCACCACCCCGGGGTCCTGGCCCCGCTCTGCACAACCTTGTCAGATATTCGGGGGGGTGGAATGGTGGCAATTTCAGGACCGACACCAGGAAGTGTATCACTTGCACAGACTGGAAGTGGTTCCCAGGAAAGTCAGGGCAGTGATGGGAGGGTTGGGCGGGGCAGCGATGGGGGTGGGCGGGGCAGCGATGGGGGTGGGCGGGGCAGCGATGGGGAAGGGCGGGACAGTGGTGGGGAGGGCGGGGCTTCTGAAGGTTCGAGATGAGATCATTTTGGCTGAAGGGCCTTCTTCATCTTTGAGCTTGTGGTCCTGTGGAGCGTCTCACTCTTGAGACACAATCATTGACCTGATGGCCTCCCTGTTCAGGGTATCCTCACTGTCACCATCAGGATGTCTCACTGATATTTTTGCAGCTGGTGCGACGGGGCAGTGTCCCTCTGCAGATGGAGCGTGTGATCTATTCCCTTCACACTGGGTGTCACGACTGGGCTGGCCAGGGATTGGGTGCAGGACTCAGAGCTGAACAGCTGTTTTAGCAAAGAATTCTCCTGTTCCAGCTGTGAGTTTTTCTCTACGAGGTCTTTAATCTGCTCCTTCAGGACCTCCACCTCCTCACGCACAGCAACCATCAGGTGGATCTTCACCAGGTCCTGAAACAAACACTCATCAGCATCACTGTCGAACTCACTATTTGTGGAGATGAAGTGTGGGAGGGGGAGATGGGGAGGTTGTAGTAGAAAGAAGGGCAGAGTCAGCTGAAGCCCCGAAATGATCAGCAGGTCAAGGGAATGACCGTGGACATGGGTGGTGGAGTGGATGTGGAAGGAAAGGTTGAGGGAGAAGATAAGGGAGGAGAAGTCAGCAGAGCTACAGAAGGAGGGGATGAAGTGAAGGTTGAAGTCGCTTGAGATGAGGCATTCATAGCAGAGAGTAAAGGAAGATAGGAGAGTGGAGATGTCGGGGATGAAGTTGGGGGAGGGTTTGGGGTGGCGATAGATACGAAAGCTGTGATTGTTCTCCTTAGAACAGAGAAGGTTAAGGGGAGATTTAATAGAGATGTTCAAAATTATGAGGGATTTTGATACAGTAGATAGGGAGAAACTGTTTCCTCTGCGCAGGTGCGTCAGTGACCAGAGGACACAGATTTAAGATTATTGGCAAAAGAACCAGAGGGGAGATGAGGAAATTGTTTTACCCTGAGAGTTGTTATGGTCTGGAATGCATTGCCTGAAAGGGTAATGGAAACAGACTTGATAATAGCCTTCAAAAGGGAATTAGATAGGTACTTGAAAAGGAGAAAATGTGCGGGGCTATGGGGTAAGAGCGAGAGTGGTGGGACTAGTTGATAGCTCTTTCAAAGAGCCGGCACAGGCACAATGGACTGAATGTCTCCTTTTGTGCTGCAAGATTCTATGATTTTAACACCGTCACCATCACTTTCCGCACTGTCACCATCTCACGGTGCTGGCGTTAGTCACAGAGGCAGTGAGGAGAGAGAGTGTGGTATTTAAGTTCAGTGAGTATCCGGGGGGTCAGTGGAGTTGGAGGGGGAGATACTGCTCACCATTGCCTGCTCAATCTTGTTGTCTATCGGCACCGCGGCAGCTCCTGAACCTCTGCAAATACAACAATAATCAACCTGGCTCCCCGCCCCCACCACGGGACTCCAGCCACTCAGCCCCCGCCGGCCCCTCTCAGCCTCCTGACCCCCCAGCCCCAAGAATCCCTCAGCACAACCGCCCACCAGCACAGCCCCCACTCCCAGCACAACCCCCCCAGCAAAACCCCCCAGCACAGCCCCAACCCAGCATAGCCCCCACCCCCCACTACAGCCTCACCAGCACAGCCCCCATCCCCACATCCCAGAACAACCCCCCCAGCACAGCCTCCAACTCCTCTAGCACAGCCCCCCCCAACTCCCCCAGTACAGCCCCACAGCACAGCCCCCACATCACTCCCTCAGCACAGCCCCACCCAGCACAGCCCCCACCCCCATCCCCACAGCTCAGCTTTATAAGTGCAAATTGTTGTTGAGGTTGAGAGACTGACAAAGAGGAAGAGAGAGAGAGGGAGAGAGGGAGAAAGATCCGTAAAAAAATTTCATTGAGAGGACCTCTGTAAGTCCTGGCTGGTTACCTGAGCAGGGGATGGGAGCTGAGATGGGAGGGAGAGAGGAAAGATAACTGAAATTGTTGTCAAAGAGAAAGGTCTTGAGACAGACTGAATGAGGTGAAGGAGGGAATCCATGGCCAAAAGAACCATCGCTCCCTCCAACTCCAGTGCAGTCTGACAGTCAACAACAACTTGCATTATTTTTAGTCACTGTGCATCTGACATACACACACCCACCACCAGTCCCCAAACAAGACAGAGTTCCACATGTCTAAAATGCAAAATACTATGAATGCTGGAAATTTGAAACAAAAACACAGAGAGCTGGGAACGCTCAGCAGGTCAGACAGCATCTATGGAGAAAGGAAAGTGGGTCAATGATTTGGATCCACGACCCTTCGTCAGAACGTGTCCATGACCCTTCGTGTTCTGCCTGACCTGCTGAGTGTTCCCAGTGTTCTGTGTTTTTGTTTCAGATTTCCACATGACTGTCACCCACACTGGAATGGAGACACATCTCTTCCTGGAGAGGATTAGTTTTACTCTACGTCTGTCCGTTCTATTCCGAGTCTGGCTCTAGTTGGAAGCTGTGATTAGCTGCAGCTGGGTTAAGTGACAGTTAATTGCACATTTCTGAAGTAAACAGCAGCGCAGACTGAGCAAAGCAGCAAACTCACCGATCCCTTCTCCTAAAGAGACTGGGGGAGTACAGCGGCCGCAATGTCATGGCCCGGGAGAGGGGGGGGGGGCAAAACTGTACCCAAGGGTGGGCAAGTGGCGGGTGGCCGCGGGCTGTTGCTCACACTCTGGAGCAGTGTCTGACCGTGTGTGTTGTAAAGGCATGTGACTGAGGCAGCCTGTGGTTGTGACCAGGAACAGTCCTCACATTGTGTGTGTGAGAGGTTCCTACCGTACCCGCCAGCACCAGGCACATACACAATGCCAGGCACTCTATACAGCGCCAGCTACAGCCTTGGCACAGATTATTAACCTAGGAAACACTGTGATCCAGCACTGCCAGAGCTAAGATCATATTTGCTAAGTAGTTCAGGGAAGTCTGTGAATGGCTCAACATTAACAACATCAACACAAATAACATTATTATCAACACTAACAACATATAATAATAATATAATCATCCTTGCATTTGATATGGCGCCTTAAGCTTATCAAGTAAATGGGAAAGGCAAAAAAAATGATGGAACTGAACTAGCATTAATGCAATAAGTCTGACAAACAAGATGCAGGATCTGGAAGGTCTTGTGATAGTTTGGATATCATTAGCATAACAGGGATATGGTGGAATGAATACAATCCATAGAATATGCATCTGGAAGGTTATAAACTGTTTAGGAGGGACCGTATCAGGGGAAGAGGAGGTGGTGTGGTACTATATAAAAGCTCCATTATTGAGACACAAGTGAGAGTGGATATAAAAAAGGAAAGGGCAGACACAGAATCACTTTGGGTAGAATTAACAGTTGGGAACTGGAGTTTGCTATAAACCCCCAAACCAAGGTGAAATCCTCGATCTGCAACTGTGGGATGAGATAAGGAAGGCCACTAGAAAGGGACCAACCATAGTAGTTGGAGATTTTAACTTACCCGAAATTGATTGGGATAATAATGTTTCTACTGTGGAGTCCTGTAGCTCAGTGGTTAGAGCACTCGCTTTGCAAGTGAGAGACCTGAGTTCAATTCCAGGCAGAGGGCGAAACCTTGGGCAAGTTTCCTTACTCCACACAGAGCCTAATAATAATCCCTCCAAAACAGAACAATAATAAATTGGTCATTTTCAATCTACGACTGTTTGTGGGACATTGCTGTGTGCAATTGGCTGCCGCGTTCGCCCACAAATTTACAGTCAATTCACTTTACAGTGTGTTCTGTGAAGCGCTTTGGGACGTCCTCCCGACGTGAAAAGCGCTATATCAAATGCAAGGATTATTATTATTATTATTATTACTGGTGAGATAGAGAAGGGGTTTCTGGATTTAAAGGAAGACTGTTTTATTATTCAGTTTGTAAAAGAGCCAACAAGGGGAGATAACATCTTGGATTTGATAATGAGCAACAGGGACGACCAAATCTCCAACATAAAGTTGAGAGAAGCATGAAGCAACAGTGATCACAATGCAGTCACATTAGACATCACAAGAGTTGGTGAGGTTAAAAAATCCAAAAAAAACTGCCAAATTTCAAGAGGACTGACTTACGCTTGAGAAGTTTTGCTGGAGTGGGTCGGCCAGGCTTAAATATGGCAATGTGAGTGGAGAACCTATGGAGTTCCTTCAAGAAGGTGATTATGAAGGCAATGGAACAATGTGTACCCATGTGAAGAAAAGGTACCAAGCTTAAAGGCATTCCCACCTAGTTGGGCAGGGCGACAAAGCAATTCATAAAGAGGAAACAAAAGGCATTTAAGGCCATGACGAAAAATGGCACAGAATTAAATCAGATTAAATACCAGAAGGCATGTTATGACTGCAAAAAAGACATCAGAATGGCAAAGAAAAGCTTTGAATTGAACTTGGAAAGAGATGTGAAGGATAATAACAAAAAGGTTCTTAATTATATTAAGAGTAAAAGGAAAACATGCAATGAATAGCAATAGGTTCGGGAGAGAATATGACAAATTATGACAAATTGACAGGCTGCAATTAGTGCTAAATAAGTTTTTTTGCATCAATCTTTACCAAAGAGGAGACTGGTAACCTGTCTGATCTGGAAACCCATCTGGCGTGATAAAGATGTCGCAGAGAAAAGTTGCAACACTTTTCATATCACTACCAGCATGGTTACCAAAAACTATGAAAGCATAAGGTAAATAGATCTCAGGGGCCGGATGAATTGCATCCGAGGATCCTTAAGGAACTGAGGGAGTAAGTCACAGAAACGCTGGCACAAATCTTTCAAAAATCATTGAATACTGGAGACGTGCAGAGGGACTAAAGGAAAGTAGATGAGAAAGATAACAAAAGTGTCCCAGGAAACTGTAAGTTTGACATCCATTGTGGGTAAAATTATGGAGACTCTTATTAAGGATACAATCATGGTCTTGTCAATCTAATTTACTGTTTTTTTTGATGGTGTGACAAGGGAGCTTGATATGGGTAAGGCTGTGGATGTTGTAAATCTGGATTTCACTAAGGCCTTTGATACAGTTCCTCATGAGAGGCTGATACTGAAAGTAAAGAAAGTGGGAATCAGTGGAGGTGAGTCGCAAGCGCAGCGGCTAAGTTTGCAGATGACACCAAGCTAATGAAGATGGTAATAATAATAATAATCCTTGCATTTGCTATAGCGCTTTTCACGTCGGGAGGACGTCCCAAAGCGCTTCACAGAACACACTGTAAAGTGAATTGACTGTATATTTGTGGGCGAACGCAGCAGCCAATTGCGCACAGCAATGTCCCACAAACAGTCGTAGATTGAAAATGACCAATTTATTATTGTTTTGGGTTTTGAAGGGATTATTATTGCAAAGCTGAACAAGATAGGTTACAGAAGGATTTGAATATACTTGGGAATTGGGCAGATCGGTGGCAGATGAAATTCAATGTGGAGAAATGTAAAATGTTTCACATGGGGAAAAAAAATCCTGGAAATTATTTAAACAGAAGGAAAATAATATGTAATGAAAAGGACCGAAGGGTCTTGATTGACAATAGATTGAAGCTCTCCCAAGAATGCTCTGCGTCAGTGAATAAAGCAAACCAGATGTTGGGATGATTTAAAAGATCAATAGCAAGCCAAAATAGTAGGGTAATCCTGCCACTGTATAAATCATTTGTGAGACCATACTTAAGAATACTGTGTACAGGTCTGGCTGCCGCATTAGAAAAAGGATATTGGAGAACTCGTGAAGATACAGAGGATGGCAACCAAAATAATTGAGGGAATGGAAGGAATAGACTGTGAGGAGCGACTAAGTAAATTAGGCGTGTTCATACTGGAAAAGAGAAGATAGATAGAGAGGTGAACATGATTGCTGTCTTAAGAGTCTAAAGGGGCTAAGCAACGTAAATCGTGATAGGCTGTTTCAACTTGTCCAGAGTAAAACCAGAGGACACGGCCTGTGATTGAAAGGAGTAAATTCAGAACAAATCTACGCAAACACTATTTCAGTGAGTGAATAGTGAACCTGTGGAACAGGCTACGTATGGAGACGGATGAAGCAGGAAGTGTTGATTCTTTCAAACACAGATAAGATAGTTTACTTTTAGGAAATAACATTATGGGATATAGGACAAATGTGCAGCGACTGCCAGGAAGGTGGAAGGCGAACTAGATGAACTTTGGGCTTTTTTCATCTAGCATTTCTTATGTTTTTATGTTATGTTCTTATCATGTCTTCAAGATGTCTCAAAGCAGTTCACAGAATATATTGTGAAGTGAATTGACTGTATATTTTGTGGGCAAAATGCGGCAGCCAATTGCATGCAACACTGTCCCGCAAATGGTCGTGGATTGAATACCAAAATTATTATTTGAAAAAAATGTTTTAAGGAACGATTAACCCTGGAAAGGCAATCCACCAATCAACTAAGAACTGGGTTATGAAAGTACTCTGGGACAATACCCTGCATTATGGGCACTATATAAATGCAAATTGCTGTTGTTGTACTTACTGCAAGGTACACAGGTGCATGTGGATTATGGAAACTTATCAATGCTTTGCCCTGCCCGGGAATCAAACCCAGGTCTGCTCGTCTGTCAGGTGAGTACTTTAAACACCAAACTACAGCGTGAACTAACAGACAGACATAGGAGTGAAGTGCAACCTTAACAAAAACATCATGAACAATATGATTGACATCAACATCATCACCAACATCATCAATATTAACATCATCAACATCATTATCATCACCATCATCATCAACATCATCATCATCACCATCATCAACATCACCAAAACCATCATCATCATCATCATCAACATCATCAACATCACCAAAACCATCATCATTAAAATAACATCATCATCAACATCATCATCAACATCATCATCGTCAACATCAACTCATCAACATTAACATCAGCATCAAATCACCAAAACCATCATTCTCATCAACATGATCAACATCATCATCAACACCATCACCATAAACATCATCTTCACAATCATCATCACCATCAACATCATCATTAACATTATCACCACCATCATCAACATAAATGTCATGAACTTCATCAACATCATCAAGCAGCAGTAGCTACATCATCATCACCATCATTAACATCATTATCATCATTATGAACATCAACATTATCATTAACATCAACATCAACATCATCATCAACATCACCATCTTCAGGATCATCATCATCGCTATCATCATAATTACGATTAGCAACATTATGAACATCATCAACATCCTCATCATCAATAATATCATCAACATAATCATCATCAACATCATTAACATCATCATCATTATCATCATTATCACAATCATCATCATCAATAACATGTAGTTTATATGGACTTTCAAAAGGCATTTGACAAAGTGCCACATGAAAGACTTGTAAGAAAGATAGAAGCCCACGGTATAAAAGGAACAGTGGCAGCGGATCCAGAACTGACTGGGAGACAGAAAGCAGAGAGTTGTGGTGAACGGCTGCTTTTCTGACTGGAGGGAAGTGTACAGTGGTGTCCCCCAGGGATTGGTATTAGGACCACTGCTCATCTTAATATACATAAACGATCTGGACGTGGGTATAGCAAGTACCATTTCCAAGTTTGCGGACGACACAAAGTTAG